TCCTCCCCTGACAAAACCCTCAAGAGTAGAGGTTCTCAACTCAAGCCTCAAAGTCCTCAGCTCAAGGGCCCACTACTCCTCGCAACCTTCATTTGATCTTTCTCTCATGCCACCTACAATCGCCTGCCATCCTTCATGCTGTAGTCCAGCCGCGGACCCTCCTCCCCTCCTGACATTCATGCACCGTCGACCGCTATCTCCCGTCCCATCTCGCGACTTCTGAGCGCCGCCAGACACCATCATCTCCCTGTGCCGCTTCACGCCGATGCACCTCGCATCTTGCGTCGCTATCACACATCACCATCTCCTACTGCTGCCACACACCCCAGTCACTGCCCTGCATACAGGTGGTCGTCCCGAGCTCGATGTCCACGTCGCGACATCGCGCCTATTGTCAACCGTATTCCACCTTCCATCCCGAGGTTGATGCCAATGCTCTCCGGAGTTGAGTGGGGCTCATCACAATCCCGGTAGCCAGGATGAGAGAGAGAGAGGGGAAGCGAGAACAAAAAAATTACATGCTTGCTAGCACCGTTGTAATACTACAGTTCACCGGGACAATGAGTGTTTCTAGGGAATTAGTCAGGCTCTCTAGGTCTATGAATCAACGAATTAGCCTTGCACCTGCCTGCAGCGTGCCACACACCCGCTTCCTCGACGAGCTCGTTGGTTTTTGAAGATTCCTGCGTTCCGCTCATTCCATGTTTTTTTTTATTTGTGGGGTGAGAAATGAAGGCTAGTGTTGGAGTTGGGGAGAATTTTGAGGGGTGAAAAAGTAGAGAAGGCCTCCGACGGCTATTTGAGGGCTCAATTTGAGTGCTAGTGTTAAAAGTGCCCGAAACTAAACACTTGGCAGCTATACTACAGTAAAAAAAACTGGCAGTCCTATCCACCGGCAGCAGAAAGCCAGAAACGGCCGCTCAAAAAAAAAAGCCAGAAACGGCCGCCCGCGCGCACCGCATCCAAAATTGCGGCAACATGCGGATTTTAATTAGCTCAGCTGCTGTGTGGGCCGGAACAGGCAACTTGTTCTTGTTGTTACCCTCTGCGGTCTGCCGATCCACCGACCAAGAGTAAAACTTCAGCTTCCTCTCAAAAGAGGAGGACAGTACAACTTCAATCGAAGTGTTAGAATAAATCCGAGGCACTTCATCTATCATCCGAGGATCAAGCAATCACACGTGCACGACATCGAGATTTGTTAACGAGGTTCACCGATATGGCTACATCCCCGGGACCTGACTATAAGCGCTCCTCCCCATGACACCGCTACAATACCGCACCCGGTCGCCCTGGACACCGGCACATGCCGCCGGCTTCCCCTGCGTTCCGGTGCTATTATATTGGCATAGGTTACATCATGTGTCTACCCTCGCTATATATGAGAGGCCTAGGATACAAGTGTCCTACTAGGACACGACTTCACATCCTATGTAAACACGATACAACTACAAGTCCAACTGTAACCTACCTTGTACACAATATTCGACACAATTCCAACAAACTCCACCTTGGCGAATATTCTCCACCACCTTGAGTTCGTCAATGCATCAAACTTCCATGTACATTGGACTTGAGCTTATCCCATGAGTACCGCTGCTACTACAAAGACTCCATGTGACTCCACCTGCAACTTGTAGTCATCCCGAGTCAAACTCGTAGTCACCACATGTATGACCACCAGAGCCCTGGCCCGTCTCCATGTCCCGTGCATACCGCACGCCTCGCCGCTATTACTGCGTCGAGCCTCCGCTGTCCTGGTCGAGTCTCAAGGGTCGCGAACCACACCACTCAACCCCACTGCAGAGTACCACCGATCACCGCCGACCGATGACGAGTTTCACGCTTCCATCAGACCACCGGGCTCCAGTCCAAACTACGTGTCACTCGCTTTTTTCACCTGCTGAATAGGCTTCGACCCCGTCGACTTACGCCGTAGCCCCTCAATACAGCTCCACCTTCAACATGACTCCATGGTAGATGATCAATCCACTCTTGCGCCTCATTGACTTCAAGCTCCGTGTATACACCACCTTGAATCAATCCTGCGCCATAGTCTTGTCGAAGCCACACAATCCTCGGGCCTGTGTCGCGTGTTTCCACGCCCAGAAGTTGGTCACCATCAGCATCACGCCCCTATGTCGTCGTCGCCGATCCACCACCGTCTTCTATATCAACCGACTTGCGTCGATCCGTCAGACTGTCTAGTCCAACCCAGCCGAACTTATCCGACTGCAACGACACGCTTCAAGGCTTCCAAATCATCTTCCGTGAATTTTCATCCATCACATGATAATTTCATCTTAGCTGACATGACTTCCCGCAACGCCCTCAAGCATCCATGTTGTGCCAACAAATTTTTTATCCTTGTCTGCCATAACCCAAGGCTTTCAGTTCCGTTGAACTTCTCCACCTCAAACCCAGTACCCATTGGCGCCTGGTTCTTCGTATGGTTGACCTTATGAAAAATACATGAGCAATCTCCTTCTGATGCACAAGTACACGACATCCGTGTACTACTAGCAGTTCCAAAAAAACCTTTTGATCTTCACGTGTAGTAGCCCTGGCTCAACCTCCCATGCTGGTTGTTGCTTTGTCAATGTCCCACCTAGTATGTATCGCTCGATGGATTTCCTTTCTGCCGATTGATCTGCTTTGCCTCTGTCTCGTCGTACGTCTCTTCTACGACTGCCTGCACCAGCCTTTCAAGCGAGCATGCAAGACTCCGTTCCTGAGACGACTTCCTTCCGGGACTCGGTCCCGTTTTGGTCTCCAAACAAATCTCCTGAGTCGATCAGCCCTGCCATGTAGCACGCTGCCACGCGCACCAGCTAGCCCCGCTGGGCCAGCCCACACCGTGCGTCGCTTGCCCTGGCTTCAGCCGCGCCGCCTGTACGCTCGCCCGATGGATCAACACGATCGATCGCCGCACGTCTGCCGCCGCCGATGCTTTTGCCTCGTATCCGCATCTCGTTCTGATTACTGCTCGAAGATCACAGCACGACCAATCCTGCCTCGATGGTAACTCGCCGATGATATGCATCCCGTATTACGATCGCTTCCGCAGATTTATGTCGATGCATCTTCTTCCTCTAGATCAACTTTCACGACCTTCAAAACAACCTAGCTCGTGATACCACTTGTTAGAATAAATCCGAGGCACTCTGTCGATCATCCGAGGATCAAGCAATCACACGTGCACGACACCGAGATTTGTTAACGAGGTTCACCGATATGGCTACATCCCCGGGGCCTGACTATGGGCGCTCCTCCCCATGACACCGCTACAATACCGCACCCGGTCGCCCTGGACACCGGCACATGCCGCCGGCTTCCCCTGCGTTCCGGTGCTATTATGTTGTCATATGTTACATCGTGTGTCTACCCCCGCTATATATGAGAGGCCTAGGATACAAGTATCCTACTAGGACACGACTTCACATCCTATGTAAACACGATACAACTACAAGTCCAACTGTAACCTACCTTGTACACAATATTCGACACAATTCCAACACGAAGTGTTGTTGAGCTACAACGAATATTGTCGTATGCCAAATTAGCTTCCTGCAAGAACCAGATCAATCCGTGTCCGCAATGCAAATTTTACAGCATTGCGACGCACGAAAATTCATCTGTTTTTTTTAGCATAATCTGTAGCTCTTCCTTCCTTGGACATTGAAGAAAACGCTGCCCGGTTCTTTATTGCGTGGTACGAGAACCGCAGTTTACATATCTATATCTACATGAGGTTCTTCTACAACTCTACAACAGTAACTATTCTGATGTCTTCCCTTTGTGAAAGAAGGGAGGGAAGCTATAACTTATGGGGCATTGCTACACCTCTGGCCCTGACGCGAAGAGGTTGACAAGGCCCCGGCAAGCTTGGACAGACACTTCGCAGGCCTGAAAAAGCTCGCCATCCAAGTTCCATACGCTTTCGTCGTGTGATGAGATGAAGGTAAATGCTCGTGTCTACAGAAATTGGAAACATCTAAATTAAATAAAATGAAGGTTTTAAACAGGGAAGAGCGTAAAGAAGGGAAAAGAATACCTTATGATGTTCAACAAACTTGAAGGTTAAAGGGTCCGACCCCTTCTTAGTAAATTGTGTCAGATGCCTGCAGATAGAACGGCTACCTCAAACAAACTCTAGAGCTAGAGATAAAAGGAAGAGGTTTGTACTCCCTCCGATCCATATTATCTGTCGCTCAAACAGATGCATTTAGCACTGAAATACGTCTAGATACATTCGTTTGAGCAACAAGTAATATGGATCGGAGGGAGTAGTATTTTGTAGCGATTTTTGCAACCTTATTTAGTTAGGAAAAGTAACAGCAGAAGTGAGTAAACAGACATCGACTGTTGTGAGGTCCAACTTGACACAAAGTTTTTAGATGTAATTTGGTTAAATAAAATAGTTCTGGAAATACGTTTAGTAATCACTTCTCAGTGCAGAGTACTGTGAAACAAGCTGAACAAGTAGTAACAGTATTCTTACCACAAATATAAGGGAAGAGGGCAATCTCTAATGAGCAGAAGGTGTAGAAAACCATCTGAGAGGTGTGCTTCAGCCACTAGGCCATCAGGGGCTCTTTCATTGCGACATGAAATGACAGCTGCACCGACACTTAGAAAACGCCCCTCGGACCAGATCCATTTTGGGTTATTATGAATCGTTTGAGAGCTGTTTGGAATCTCATCTTCTGAATTTTGTCCAGGCGTTGAAGTTTCTTTGCATACAGAACAATTTGCTTGGCAAATTGTTTTGCGAGATCTTTTTCTACGAGATTGCAGTGGTTGTACTTCATCTGCAACATTCTCTGCTGATGCAGCAAATGAATGAGAGTTCTCATTCTCAAGAAAAGCCACTTTTGCATCATAAGATCTGAAAAATGGCACGCAATTGTCAGTTTGTGATCAAACTGAATAAGAAGCATAGCACAAGAAAGGATACTTGCCACCGGCTACTATTAATTACCTGTGCTTCAGGAAGACCATAGTTCCAGAAAAATCATAACGTGCAGGGCCCATCCATCGGTAGTTTTCACTCTCCCTTATGACTTCTCCATAAAATCCATATCTACAGGCAGAATCCAAAAGAATCAACTAATATGCAGAAGAACAATCCAGAGGGGGTTCATATAGTGATATGCACTTGCACGGACTTGGTAAAATTGTATGATCAATCTATGTTAAATGCAAGTCCATAACTATCAGTAATGCACAAGAAACATCAACAGGAAGAACTTACTTACATCAAACAATGAAAGCAAGGCTAAGTCTAGCTAAGTTCAACATTATTTAAGGAGAATAAAATGAAAACTGGAACTCCTATAACTTCTGCCAGATATATTGAGTTAATGTTACAGTAGTTGCAGGATATCTATGGTGGCAGTGCACATTAGCACATTTAAGAAATTGATGGTCGACATTAAAATTCATGTATTTCCTCGCTCTCAGTTCATACAAGCACTAGGTAGCTACATCATGCCCTAAAGGAAGTTATATACCCTGCAAATGAAGCTGCATAGCGTACAGTAGGTAAAACCTCAGCTGATGGGCTACTCTTCCACCTGACTACTTGAGCTATATCAAGCGCTATCCTTCTACCAAAGATAATAAGCAGGGCAGAAGTCACAGCATCTCGTTCCCCAGTTGTGCTGCATGGATCAATATAAGATGTTTACAGCCAGCAAAGAACTGCCATCGATAAGTACATAATGTGTGCACAAAAATAGTCCATCTATAACAAGCCCGCAAATGGACATTGGTATGCATGAACTAAAAGGACATTAAGCTCAAAATGTAAGAAATTAGGCAAGACAATATAATTGTTTTGAAAGATGAAGGTGATGCTAATTTGGCAGGTGTACCAATTACAGCATACTTGCACACTGCTCCAACAGACAGATGAACGGATGGTAATGGTGGATCTGTCCAATGTCCTAAAGGATGAGGATCATAACCAGCTTACATGCAATGCTGTACAACTACAGATTTAAGGGGATTGAATTGCCATGATCTATGCAACTTTCTACCCCTAAAAATAAGGCTCTCGGCTATTTAGTACTGAAAAGTGTCGTTTCTCCTTGCGTGGTTACACCTAGGTGTCTCGATCAGTACCTGAGTACAATAGCATCTGTTGAGCCAGAAGGAATTATGCCAAGCCTAAACCAATCATTTGGGAAGAAGACTGGAGGAACTTGATCTGCAGTAGTACCAATTTCAACATAAAACAAAGCTATCAGTCGTGTCGCTGGCCCTAAATTTTTTGCAGTTTTAAGATAGACAAAATAACTGAGTTTCGGTTACTCATTGACCTCCAGTAGATGATTCTGTATTTGGATCTGCAACAAGAAGCACACAAAATTACTTATACAAGAAATTGCTCTACATAATATGTGGTACATGTAACCAAAAGGGACATACTTAATGATGAGATGTCTAATCCAACAACAGATTTTCCAGTCGAAAGAAGAGGTTCATGATCATCAGATTTGTTGGAACCCACACGGAGCATGACATTTACAGCATCTGATGTGGCCGTACTGTTGTTTAGCCCATCGTTCCTGTATCCTTGGCATTTCTCAGTGCTTCCAAAATATCCAAAGCCCTCTGGAGTTGGAGGATAAGAAATCTTATTCCTCGAATTTAGTAGTCCATTCAGGATTTCATTAAATAAACCATCACCACCCTATAAATGTGAAGTTTGGAGAGTATACAAGTAAAATGCGATGGAATTCAATAAGTTCAGTAACAGATTGAAAAAAAAAGTAGGAGTACAGGATTTGAGTTTTTTTTTCTCTAGAAGTAAAGCATGGAATTATAATTTTTCTTTAACAGTACACACCGGAAGATTTCAGATGCCATATGAAAAAACTCTAGGGCACGTGGGAAGTGACCCTGTGAAATCTCTTCACCAAGGCATATATAGTGTGTTCACACTGATGTACCAGGTTGTTGTTTATTAAGGGGGCGAATTCCCATTTTGTGCTTTAATCTCTTATCAGCTTGCACCTTAAAATAAACTAGTGATGATTAATAATAGTCATTCTAAAAGTACTAATAATTACATAACAGGTTGGAAATAAGAAATTCAGGACTCGTCTCACTGAAAACGACTTCAAGCATCATGACTAATTAATTGTAGTTCTACAATACTTCCCGAACTATAAGAACAGAAAATGTTAACCAAGTATTATAAAAATAAATCAACATACCACTGCAACAACACCGTCAAATTTCTTGAGCTCTTTATCTGATATTGATGCTAAGGTGTCATATGCATGTCCTGCTCTCTCCGTGATTATCACCTGAAGATGTAAACATGTTGTGAACATAAGTTAGAGGACCGAGGGTTGTTTGTGAGAATTTTGATGTCACAAACTCATCAGTAACAAATATAGAAAGAAAGAATCATGCATAGACATTATTGCACGCCTATAATTCCTTTTGTTGTTTTTGCTTCTATGAGCAAACATGTTTACCTTTGTATTTACTTTCGCCCGGTCAAATAAAGGAGCTACCATTTCCCAATTTTTGCAACCTCTACCTTTTCCACAAAGTGGATGGACAAACACCTACAGTTTGTGGAATAGTTAGTTAGCCAAAATGCTCAATAATATGATAGCAGTGATAAGGGATATATGGAAGAGCGTGTCAGAACTACCATCAGGTTCTTGGGCCTGTCCTGTTCATTATTTATGCATGCACTGAGATGCTCAACCCAGCTTTTGCAGGTCTCCGGGTCTTTGTGTCCAAAAAGATATTCACAAGGTACCAATTGAGAAGGGTGTTTTCTTGATCTGGTGATTACATGTACGGCAAAGCGGTGCATCTGCATGAGCAACAGCTTTTTAAAGAGAACATGAGCATAAAACATGGCATGTGAAAGAACTTCTAATAATGCATTTGGCTAAAAAAGAGCAGAAGCTTTTGACAAAAACTACAGAAAAGGAACTCCGTAAAATAACTAAAAGAAATGCTATAACCTCACTATTTTTCTTGCCTTGGGCGACAATTCTTGTATTCCAAGGTCCACATACAGGACCTTCATCAAGAAGCTCCACAGCATAAACATCCGAAAACTTGATTTTATTCTCTAATTTTGGTAGTAATCCGATAGATGACAAACATGAAGAACCCAATTCCTGCAAAATTTAGTGTGATGAGCAGAAACCACAGTCACGCTGCAAAAAAGTAAGACAATATCCTCCTGCATATACTTATCATTTGCAACTCAAGAACGTAATCCTTGAGGCACAAGCAAAACTGGAACACCTATCCTTGTTGACAGAACTAGATGCTTGTAAAATACTAAAATGTGATATTCACATATTTGGCTTTGCACACCAGCTGGATCACTTTCTTGAAGAGGGGAACTAAGGCTGAGGTTGTGATTTACAAGAGATAGAGTCACAAACGCACAGGATGATTCTTAGTTTCTCGTTTGGGTACTTAAAATAATGCATTTTATGCTCCCCGATTTGCAAGGGGTTCAGCTGGCCAGTGGCTAGTGGCAACCATCCTCCTCTTGTACTAAATCAGCAACAATTAAATTAATATGTATCGTACTTCTTTTCCAAACGAAAGCAAGAACTTCAATGTTGTCCGAGGCGTGTAACCATGCTTTTAATGAACAATCTACGCGGCTAACCCACGCTTCTTTATGAATCTGCAATTACTTATGCCGTCTCCACTTTACCTATCCGCCACCCAACTCTTCGGTTCAACCCCCGAAGCTGCAAATCTACCTACAGCCCACCGTACAATTCGACTAAGAAAACACAAAGTTCCTTCAGATTAAGTGCTGAAAAACGAACTAAATCCGTACGATCTGGCAATAGCATTCGGCGAGCAGAGACGAGCGGGAGGCCAGCCACAGTCAGAGCCAGAGGCGTACCGGGTGGAGAGGCAGGAAGGAGAGGCCGTCGTGGCCGAGGGTGACGGCGACCTCCCCGACGCCGCCCAGGAACAGCACCTCGCCGTCGCCCTGCATGGTCTCCCCTCTCTGTTGCCGTTGCTGAGCTCGACCGTGCCGTTCGCTCTATTTTTTCCGTTGCCGCTGCTTGTTCTTCCGGCGGGGACGGGTACGGGGGCGCGGTTGTCTTTCGGCTGGACTTTGTGCGCGTGCGATTGATTGGGTCTTTTTAGATCTGGTCCGCGCTGCTGGTTTCCTCCCGAAACACGTTCCTGACCGGAGACTAGTCGTCCTCGTATCCATTGCTTTTTTTTTCTCGAAATAAAGTATCCAGTGTTTTGAGTTCCGAGTGGTGATTGTTGACTGACGTTCCTTCAGTCAAATGATTGAGTACTCCTTTCCAAAATCTTGGGTGCCTAAGCTATTAAATTATTTTTTCAAATCTATATTGTCTCTTGTACGATTATTGGAAGCTAACCACTTTTTTAGCCGAAACCGTGAACAATAGTTCTAGGCATTTTATTAAATAAAATATATACATGCAAAGTCTAAACAATGCAAAAATAAAAATCACCCAATGCCTGCTCTAGTAATCATCAAATAAATTACAAGTCCTGTTTTATTTAGACTCTGATCTTATCTGCCTGGACTGGTTTAGCTCTGATCTGAGTAGTCTGCAGGCCCTCCTTCAGGTAATGTTTTCATGTGTGAATGCTAGGTGTCGCTCTTCTAAAAATCTTGTCATTTCTGCTCATCCATATGCTCCAGCAACCCATAACTATAATCTCCATAGCAATATCTTGAAAGATTGATCTTTGTAAGCTGAATTTCGTCATATGCAGATACCTCTCTGCTTGCCAGGTGTGAGAGTCTGCGAGCACTCTAGTGCAAATTGGCAATCCCAGAAAGATGTGCACGGGTTTCCTCTGTGGCATCAGAGCATAAGGCACTCTATCATGAAGGAGTAGCCAAAAAAAGGTTTTGTGTCTCAGTCTGCATGCAGTGCTCCAGAGTTGTGGGAAGATGTTATGTGTTGTGCTGGTTCCAATGATGGCCTTATACATCTTCATAGATGAGTACTTTGGTGTAGCCCAAGAATAGGTCCATGTATTTGCTTCATCTGAAATTTCTCTATTGTGTATGATCTCTTATAATGCATTGAATTTATTGAAAGCTTGGAGCGATAGTGGCATGTGGAATAGTTGACTCATCTCATTGAGTTCAAATACTTTGTGCAAGGAGGTATCTCTGTTAATAGCAAAAGAGTGCAACTCTGGGTACTTATCTCTCAGAGGTTGTTCATCCCAGTTATCAGTCCAGAATAGTGTGGAGTTTCGTCTACCACCTTTACATACTACATGTTGTTTAAATGCTGGCAGTAATCTGAGTATATCCTTCCACAAGAAAGATCCAATCAATTTCCCCCCAGATAGGCTATCAAGGTAGTGAGTCTCCCAGATAATACTAATTCAAGGATTGTCATCCTTATTAAAGAATTTGTGGAGAAATTTCCTGAGTAGTGCTTGGTTGTGAGCATGAATATCCAAAACACCAAGGCCTCCATGGGCTTTAGGTTTGTTGACTTGGTCCCATGAAATAAGCACTACTCCTCTGTCCATTATTCCATATTTTCTCCAGAAGTAATTCATGAGATAGGAGTTGATTTGATTGATCACAGCCTTGGGAATCATTAAAGTGCACATGATGGAAGTTGGCATGCTGGAGAAGGCAGATTTAATGAGAGTAAGTTTGCCTCCAGTTCATAATAGTGTTGAGCATCCCAATAGTATGTTCTCAATTATTTTTAGCATAGGTACAAAATCAATAATTCTGGGCTTGGTAAGACAAAGTGGCAGTCCCAGGTATGTGTGTGGGAGAGATCCTATCTTGCAACCAAGGAGGGTAGATAGCTCTTCCATTTTGCCTGATAGAGTGTTGATAGGAATGATTATAGACTTAGAGTAATTTACTTCGAGTCCAATATATTCAACATAGTGGACAGGAGATTTTTTATGTGTTGGAGTTGTCTGCTATCTCCCTTAGGAACTAGGATTGTATCATCTTCATACTGAATGATGGGATAATCAGGGCAAGAGTTGTGCATGAGTGGAGTTTCTACCAGAGAACTATGCATGGTCTCATTGAGCATGGATTGTAGCAGGTTTGCAGCAATAACAAATATCAGAGGTGAGAGTGGATCTCCTTGCCTGACACCTTTTTCGCAGAGGAATTGTTTTCCTAGGACCCCATTGAGAAGAACAGATGAGTATACAGTCCCATATATCATCTTAATCCATTGGATCCATTTGCTACCAAAACCTTTTGCTTGTAAACTTTCAATAATGGTGTCATGGTTGAGCATATGAAATGCCTTCTCAAAATCCAGTTTCAACAGAAGTAGTTCTTTCTTTCTCTGTGGCATTGATGAATATATTCATAGGACCATGCTAGGCAATCCTGGATGCACCTATTATGTAAGAATCTATACTGATTTTTGTGTATCATTCCGAGGATGTATTTTTGCAACCTGTTTGCCAACAGTTTTGTGATAATCTTTGGTGTACAATTGAGCAACGAGATATGTATGAATTCAGAGGGGCTAGATGCAGAGTCAATCTTAGGTATTATAGTAATGAATGAGTAGTTGATGCTCTAAATGTTGAAATTTCCTGAGTGAAAATTTTCTATTAGCTTGTAGAAGTCAGGGGCAATGATATCCCAACAGGTTTTGAGGAAGGTTGCATTAAATCCATCTGGGCTAAGTGATTTGTCTGCAGGCATATGTTTGATCACCCTGTCAATCTCATCCTTGGTAAATGGTGCTTCCAACTCGGCCATATCATCCATTGGTTGTAGTAAGTGATGAAGGAGCAAAGGATTATTGGTTGGTACACTAGTCCCTAGTCTGTCCTTGAAAGATCTATAAAGGATAGTTGCTTTTGCCTTATGTTCGTAGTGCTCCTGACCCTGCTCATCCTTCAAGATAGCAATGCAATTATTTCTGAAATTGATGGTTGCTTTAGCTTGGAAGTATTTGGTATTGGCTTCTCCCATTTTGATCTGTCTGATGGTGGCTCTTTGCTTCCAATATTTTCCCTGACATTCTAGAATATGATCCAAGTGAGTTTTGAGAATAGTTCTGCCATTACCTTCCTCAAGGGTTAAATTCCTAAATTCCTCCATGGTATGATAGCATGGGATCATGAAATTGGTGTCAGCAATGATTTTCTTCAAATTTGAAATATTTCTAGCCCAATTGTTTAGACCCTTCCTCAATCTTTTGAATTTAGCTGCAATGATGTTTGCAATGTCCCTTTCATTCACATCTTGTGCCCAAATGTATTTGACAATGTCCTTGAAATGATTGTGTTCTAACCAGAAGTTTTCAAACATGAAGATGTTGGCTTTAAGTATAGAAGATCCAATTTTTATCTGTATGAGGACATGATCAGAAGTGGTCTTAGCTAGTGGGTATGCAAAAGTTGCTGGGTATTTAAGAGTCCATGCCTCTGATGAGAAGCACCATTCAAGTTCCTCCAATAGTGGTGCTTCTTGCATATTACTCCAAGTGAATATTCTGCCCTTGAGGGGTATTTCAATCAATGCATGTTTGTTGATAGCTTCATTGAACAAAAGCATATCATTAATATTGCCCCCTTCCCTGCTTCTGTTGTGTGGGTACCTAATATAGTTAAAATCACCCACAATAAGCCAGTTAGCCTCATCATGCATAGGGAAGTTTTGGAACCGATTGAGGAAAAGTATTCTTTCATTATGTTGGCATGGCCCATAAATATTGGTGAGGATCCACTTATCACCATTATGAGCAGATGTGAACTGAATAAGACAATGAGAATTCATTAACATGGTAGAACCGACCAGAAAATACTTGTTCATTCCATGCAACTGGCAGACCTCCTGATGCTCCCACAGAGGCAAGAAACTCAAATCTTTTAATTCTTCTAGGGTAGAAGTTCTTTAGATAAGAGCTGTCAAAATCTTATTTTTTTTAGTTTCTTGCAAGCATATGATAGAACATTGAGATTCTTCAATATTATTAGCCATGGCAGTCCATTTTGGGGTTATTTATGCCTCTGATATTCCAATTAAGAATACTATTATCTATGCATGTTGTAATGAAAATGACTGAACATTTGTGAAACATATTATTGGCCCTCAGCAATAGATGCGCAGTATAATTCACATGCCATGCATTCATACAGACAATCTCAATAGCAAAAGAGGTCTGACTAGGAGCAGGTTGCTCATAATACAGGGAGTGCAACATTGCTTACAAACCACAACAAACTGATCAGGTACCAAAATTCTAACATACTGCATTTTGAACACAAAGTTGGGAAAGTAAAGTGCTCTTGTGTAGGTGCTCTAAATCCATTTCTTACTTTGTTCCTTAGAAGTCTTGTTGCCCTCCAAAGCTGTGCTGCTTCCCTTGTTCCTTTTAGCCTTCTTACCAAACTTTTCTTCAGTAGTATCTTTCACAGCAACCTTGCAAAAAGAGGTATTCAGGCTTTTAATAATTTTGGTAGGGATAGTAGGTGGTACAACATGGCAATCAAGACAATCTTTATCCCTACACACTTCTTTCTTAAAACCTTTTGAATTTTTTTGCAATCTGTAGCTTCTTCTTACCTCAGTATCAACCATAGGCACTTCATCTTTCCTCTTCATGTCCTTTTGCAAAAGCAGAAGTGGATGATGGGGAGATCACCTCAGCAGATGTTTCTTCTGCCGGAGAAGAGTTCTCCTGCTCATGTGTGCCCTGGGAATTTGGGGAGTGGGCACATACAAGTGAGCTATCAACTAGGCATCTATTAGGTATAACAAATGACAGTGTAACAGAGCAGGATGTTCCTTGGTTAATAATTTCCCACACTTGACGAAATGAATTTATTTTGCCCATTCAAATTTATCTGGAGATAGAAGTGTGACTGATAGGAATTTTTCCCAATCAACTAGTACTTATATAATTTCTTTGCTATCCACAGTTGGTGCAAAATGTTTTTCAGACCTTGGCCCCTTCTGCTCCAATGAGAGCCTCCTCAGCTTTCCTGTTGCAT